CAATGAGATAAACAAAGTTGTGAGAACACTGGCAAAACCCTCTGCAATATTCTAGCCAGGAAAATTCATGAGCACTTTAAAAGCATCTTAATGTTTGCCCTCGGTCAAATGTACCTCAATCTAAATGAAACCATTTGAAAAGAGTTGTCAACATGAAAAGTTTCTGAAATCTGCTGGTTTGTGGATCACTGCAAATCCATATGAGTCCATGGCTAAATACATAAGTAAAAATAGAAATCTAATAATGAGCATTCTCTTAAGACTTCTTTCCTGAAAACACTGCACAATGTGCTTTGATAACTAAATGATCATTTAATCATTCCTCTAGCAACACTTGAGGTCCATAAAGAACTGTGGAACATGTCTGAATGGGACAGAAATGTTGGGATACCAACAAGAAAGTTTCACTGAACCTCAAAAGAGAAGGTTCATAAATAACCAGAATGCAGGAATGTCCACAAAACTTGAAATTAAAAACAAGGGACTGGGGTGTGGCTCAGTGACAGAGCACCTGCCTAGCACCTGTGAGGCACTGAGTTCGATCCTTGGCACCACATAAAATAGGAATATATAAAATGAAGGTATTCTGTCCTAAAAACTATTAAAAAAAATAAAGATCAGATTTAAAATGAAAAAGAAAAGCAACACCCTGCAATGGAGCATTTCTCCTAGACCAGCTTCCTGGACACCCATATACCAGCATAATATGAGCAAGATTAGAAAAATGGGTGAGAAATTACAGAACTCTGCTCTGGCCCCATCTCTAGTCCAGCCCCACTTAAATGTCCCTCTTCAAAGAGCAACACCTCAGAGCACGTATTTGCTGTCTCTCCCTTAAGAGCTTTCTCACATTTTTCCTTTCTTTATTCTTTTGGTGCTGGGAATTGAACCTAGGACCTTGTGCATGCAGGGCAAGCACACTACCAACCTCACTGAATCCCTGGCCCCTCACGTTCTTTTCTGAATGTGCATCTGTTTTCTAAATAGGTCTGTTCGCGCACCTGACAATGATGAAGTTGTTTTCTGCTTTGAAAACCAAGGAACCTACTTTTTCTGAGCTGATGTCCCTCTCTCTTCCTGAAATCCCTTCCCACTACACAACCTCACACAGCAAAAGTCAGACTTGAGCTTTGTAATTGTGTGGATTTTTTTATTGTTTGGGGTCTGATATTACATATATCACTGGAGGGAGGTAACTAGCAGCCATGCAGTATTTTTTTTTAAAGAGATAGTGAGAGAGCGGGGAGAGAGAGAGAGAGAGAGAGAGAGAGAGAGAGAGAGAGAGAGAGAGAAGGGAATAGGTTTGAGGTGGCTGGGGTGAGGGTCTCTCCCCTTGTGGTCCCCTAGATGGAGGTGAGCAAGAGCCAGCTCTGGTGACATTCTGAGTGTGATGTCCGTCAAATTGTGACAGGCTCCCACTCGAAGACCCTGTCCTGGACCCTGCTTTCCCTGGGTCATTGACAATCTGGTACAAAGTGGTGAGTCTCTTCCCTTCTGGGAGACAAGAGCTTCCTCATCCATGGAAGGGGGCATGCGTGTGCCAGGCAGGGTCGGGTCAGAGCATGTGGCTGTGCCTGGGCAGTCAGAATATAAGCCCCTTTGCTTCCCATCCAGGCACCTGAGATTTCTCTCTCAAGCCCCTTTCAAACCAGGAAGGGATAATGCGATTTCACTTTTACAATTTTAACAAGCAGCATCTTCATCAATTGCCAAATAAGGATGAGGCCAAAGAGGTCAAGTAATTAAAACAAAGGGCTCTGGAGTGATTGGGGACATTTCTTGGCGTGTGACTGCGGGTTGATATCTCACACTCAGCCTCTGCTGCTGGGTCCCGATGGCCACCCCTCTTCTGCCCTGGGTGCCCATCTCTGACCGATGGCACCCAGAAGACCCTTCCTCCTACCAACCGGCCCCAGGCATCCTTTCTGTGGGACGTCCCGGGCCAGCAGACGTCCCTGGGCAGACTCACCGGAGACTGGCTGGTTGGTCCCACCCGTGGGTAAGCCAGTCCACCTGGCAGCTCAACAGGTGTTAGTGGGCTTTCGTTTTCTACCTGATCCGGAAAATTTCTGCCAGCCCCATGCAAGTCCGTCGAGGGAAAGTCTGGCCTCAGTTTCGTAGTGGAAAACTGCCCAGCAGCGTCTGCAAAGAGGGGGCGTCATCACCTCCCCCCGCAGTCCTACACACACACTCACACACTCACACACACGCACTCACACACTCACACACACGCCCGGCTCATTGCAGGACGCGCGCTCGGTGCTGGCCTCTGGCTCGGCGGTGACGGTCAGCCCCGCGCAGTGGCAGAGGCACCTGCGGGAGATCGTCCCCTCCCCCGACCCCCAGGAGGGAAGAGCTGGTCTCCCGCTCTTCTGGCTCCTACCTCGTACGAGCGGCCGCGACCCCCGCCCCGGG